CAGTGCTCTTAACCTCTGAGCCATCTCTCCAGCCCCACTAAAACTCTATTTAAACTAACATCATTATTATCACTTAGACAGTTCAGCTTAGGAAGAAATCATCTTCATAATAATCCACAGGTAAAAATGCCCAGTAGAATGGGATGTTTCTATGAGATAAACACACTACATTGCAGGCAGTGGGGATCTCCCCACACCCGTTCACACCATGTCTGATACCAGAGAAAGAAAGCAGCAGCAAATGTGTAAAGGCACAGCAGAAGCAAAAGACATTCTGGGGCCTGGGGTCTCGGGGCCTTGCCTCTACCTGAGTGAGATTCACCCATCAGGGAGTTGCCTCCTGGTGGGCTGACACCCTGAAGTCAGTTGCCACCTGCTGCTCCTCTGACATGGCTACTAACATTCATTGGTGTTTTGCCTGCATGTATGTCTGTGTGAGGGTGTCAGAAACCCTGGAACTGGAGTTACAGACAGTTGTGAGCTGCCATGTGGATGCTGGGAATTGAACCTGGGTCCTCTGAAAGAACAGCCAGTGCTCTTATCTGATCCATCTCTCCAGCTGTGAGTGGATTCTTAAGAGACAGGGAGGAACCTCTTATTAGCCACAGAGTTGGGGCTCCTCTGTGTGCATCTAAGTGAGAGGTATGGTGATATATTGTGTACCCTAATAAACTTGTCTGAGGATCAGAGGACAGAGCCAGCCACTAGACTAGACAAAGAGGCCAAAAGAGACCAGGCAGTGGTGGCATACATCTTTAATCCTAACATTCAGGAGGCAGAGATCAGTCTGGATCTGTGAGTTCAAGACCACACTAGGAACCGAGCCAGACAATGGTGGCACACACCTTTAATCCCAGCACTTGAGATCTCATTCCTTTAATCCCAGGAAGTAATATGGTAGGGCAGAGAAAGGTATATAACGCATGAGGAAACAGGAACTCACTCTCTTCAGACTGAGGATTTTTTAGAGGTAAGAACTAGTGACTGGCTGTTCTGCTTCTCTGATCTTTCAGCTTTCACCCTGATATTTGGTTCTGGGTTTTTATTAAAAGACCATCTAAGATTCGAATAACAGAGTGGAGGCAGTGGCTATAGAGGATAAGTGGAGGGCATCTCGGGTTGGTAGGGGCAGGCAGCGGCTGCCAGTTGGGCCGTGAGAGGGGTTCACAGTTCCTCTAGGTCCCTAGTGGGAGGTACTCACGGCTTTTCCAGTTGCTCTCTTCTGTCTTCCGATGTTTCTGAAATAGCCAGTATGTAAGAACCTGTATGTTGTTTAAGGAGTTTCAAGACCTGGCCAAGGAAAGAGGTTAGGTTTCATGCCCTAGTTACATAGGTTTGAGCCTTAGCTGCTCAGGAGCCTGAGGCAGGAATATCCCAAGTTTAAAGCCAGCCTTTGCAAATTGTTGAAACTCTTGTCTCAAAGCCCACACCCCCCATCTCACCACCACCCCCCAAAACCCACAGCTAAACGGAAAGGACCCAGGTGTGAAAAAGTTGATTCAGATGACAACAGTGTATAGCCCCAGGGACGAATTAAAAAACCAAGCTGTTGGGCACACAGCCCGGGAGGATAGTTCAACAGGGCAGGGGGAGAGGCAGATGGGCAGGTGAGGTGGAGGCGGCCCTTTGTAGTGGAGCTGCCTACCTCCTTTCTTCCCTTGGCTGGGGGAGGAAAGGAGCCCCAAGCGGCAGCTCCAACCCCTCAGGGTTATTTCAGAACAGTCCAGTACAAAGGACTTGTTTTCCCTCCCACCTGCCCTGGCTGGCCCCTCCCCCAGCACAGTCCTCCTGTGATGAATTCTCTTAGATTTTGTGCTTGAAGAACAACCAGGAAACTGAAAAGTTTCCGGGAATGCCGTGCAGGGACTCAGTTTAGGGCAGTGTTGGGAAATTCCATTTCATTTCTTCCGGCTGCTCAGAGCCCCTTCAAGCACCCAGCAGGAAGGAGGCCACAGTCATGGCCAGTCCAAGACACCCAGTATCAGCTCATGCTGTAGCCCTGGTGCAGATGGAGCGACTCCAGGTAGGACCACACAACCCCATCCTCCACTCCTGCCCAAAGAGGCAGAAGGGTAGCTGGCAAAGCCTGAGGGGAGATGGCGCCTCAACCTTTCCTCACACAGACGTTTGCCTTCTCGGTGCGCTGGTCAGACAACAGTGAGTCCTCTGTTCGCAGGAGCTGGGATGAGTTTAGGCGGCTCCAGGTAAGTAACTGGGACTACTTCAACAGGGTAGCTCATCCTCCAGTCCAGAGGCCTCTAGATACATGACCTCCCGCCCTTCCTGTAGAGGCTCTTCCAGGGACCCTCCCCCCCCCCCCTCCCCACCCTCCCAATCCCCCTCCCCACGCCCCACCCCACCCCGGGGTCCTCTCCACTCTCCGAGATTGACACATGCTTCTTCCTCTCAGAAGATCCTTAAGAAAACCTTCCCAGTGGAGGCCGGCCTGCTCCAGAGATCTGAACGAATTCTTCCCAAGCTACCTGGTCAGGCCTGCAAGGGTTGCAGGGGTGGTCACGGGGGTGGTCAGGCAACCCCGCCCCCCCCCCAAAAAAAAAGTGTGGGTGAGTGGTCCCAGTGTGTTCTTGTGACACCCGGGCAGACGCTCCACTGCTGACTCGTCGGGGCCGTACTGCCCGAGGCCTGGTACGTTTGCGGCTGCTGGACACCTATGTACAGGAACTGCTGGCGAGCTCAGAGCACGTATTGAGGAGCGCAGCCCTCAGTGACTTCTTTGCACCCAAACCTCTGGATCTGGAGCCCACGCTGCCCCCTGGCAGGTGACTTACACCCTACTGACCATGCACTTGCGGGGAGGGCAGATGAGGCTAGGCTGACCTGTATGTATAGGCGGGGGAAAAGAGGATTCCCATCCTTCCTACTCATTTCTCACATGTGCTGGCTGCCCTGCCCAGCCTGGTGATCCTGCCTACACCAGAGGAGCCCTTATCCCAACCTGCAAGCGGTCCTGCCATCCATAGCCTGGAGGCTCTGAGCATGCGCTGTTTACAGCCTTTTTACACCCGTGACACAAGAGACAGACCTTTCCACACACAGGCTCAAGAAATTCTGGACGTATTACTACGACATCCTTCAGGTAGGGCCACAGTATTAAAAACCTGGGGATAACTGGACGGTGGTGGCACACACCTTTGACCCCAGCACTCAGGAGACGTAGGCAGGCAGATCTCTGTGAGTTCGAAGCTAGCCTGGTCTACAAAGTGAGTTCCAAACACAAAACCAAACAAAGACTTGCTCTCTGATGAAGATGGGTGCAGGCCGTGGCATCTGAGTCCCTTTCCTGCCTCTTGATCAGGTTGGTGGCTGGTGGAGAACAAGGATCAGCAGACAGCCTGGTTCCCAGCTCCCTACCTGGAGGAGGTGGCCCCAGGCCAGGGCCAGGAGTCAGGCCTGGCTTTGCAAGGCAGTGGTATGAGCCCATCCCTTGCCACTAAGAAATGGACCTCGTGGCGAGGCTGAGACCAAGCCCATGAGGGAGGGGATAGTGGGGCCCCATGCATGTGGGTGCTGCTTACAGCAAGGAGGAGGCTCAAGTGGGGTTCAGAGCAGTCTCAAGTGTCTGGAGGTGAGCCCAGAGCAAGGGGAGGACTCCAGTCTTGCAGTTCTATAGTGACCCCCAAACACCTACCCTAGGGACGCAGTTCTGTGCTACCCAGGCCTATGAGGGCAGTCGCACCGATGAGCTATCAGTGCCTGCCGGAGCACATGTGCGTGTGCTGGAAACCTCTGACCGCGGCTGGTGGCTGTGCAGGTGAGTGAGCGCGCGCGCGCACGTGCGTGCGTGCGTGCATGCATGCCTGCGTGTGTGGTGGAGAGGCAGGGGCTGCCTGGCAGAAGGGGCACATAGCATCAGGAAAATCCTTCATCAAGCCTCGCCTTCCTTGCAGGTACGGTGGCCGGGTAGGCCTGTTCCCTGCAGTGCTGCTGCAGCCCGAAGGGCTGGGCTCCCTCCTGGGCAGGCCAGGGCCCCCAGACGGTGGAAGGGAAGACAAGGTGGCCAAGGGCAGGGCTGCTCCCCCTGTAGTGCCAACTCGGCCCCATCGGAGTGCCATCCAGAGCCGATGCTGCACCATCACCCGCATGGCACTGGGACAGGAAAAGAGACCCAGGGTCCCCCTTGAGGATTTGTGCAGCCCTGCAGAGAGATCGCACTGTCAATCCCAACCACAGGCAAAGTAGGGATCCGGACCTGCCAAGGGAGCAGGATAGGGTGGGGCTGGATGGCTGGCAGGGTCAAGGGGCAGCAACTTCCCATTTCCTCTAAATAAAACTGGAATGACTTCACCCAATCTCATGGGTAGAGGTTGAAATCTCGGTGGGCCAAGGATTTTGGGGGAGATTAGTCAGATTCGTCTGAGAAGCCAAGATAGAAAAGTGCAACTTTTATGTGTGTCACAGGGCTGGGGGAGCAGCAGGGAGCGGGGACAGCTTCATGTTGTGCCACAGGAAGTCCAAGAAGGTAGCTGCTTGTAGCGTCCGGCTAAGCCGCTGGAAGTGCCGCTCTAGAGGAGGACAGAGGGCGTTAGGGCAGGGGGGAGGGGGCTGACTTCCCTGGACCCAGGGCCATGTCACATACCCGTATAGGGCAACAGCGCCTCCAGTGTGCCCCGCACACCCTCGTAGGCCAGTAGTTCCTCGGGGGCCTCGTGCCGCAACAGCACACCCAGCACGGCCTGGGCTTCGTGGCAATGTCTGGAGTTGGTGTTCCACGTGACACAGAAGCGCAGCAGGGCCTCTGTGGGTATAGGGATGGTCACCCTGCTTGTTGGGCCATTCCGTGCTCTGCCCACCAGGCCATCCCCCTCCCCAGACTGGTCCCTTCCAGCCGCCTGTCCACAACCTTTCTGGTCTCGTCGTAATCGGAGCACAGTGCCCTCCAGCTTCTCACAGGCCTCAGGATCCCTCCGGATGGCTGTGGGAGGAGGGAAGTCAGCTTAAAGAAAGGGTCTGCTGATCCCTGGAGCCTCCCCCAACCCCAGCCTGCTCCTGGGGGCAGGTACTGACCCTGGATAACAGTCAGTACAGTGTGGGGACGATCCAGGGAGATGGCAAGTCCTAGTGCCCGGAGATACCGCTTCTCATGGAGCAGGTTGTCCAGTTCTTGCTGCCTGGTGGGAGAGAGGAAAAGACATTGTCAATCAGAGACCCTGGCTGGGTGTAAGCACGCACAGGCGTGAGCCCTACCTCAACCTGTTCCCTATGCCTCACAGCAGGGAACATACAGGAGCTACTGCTGCTTAGGGGATCCAGTGGTGGCGACATGCAAGGGTGAGAGGTCTGCTGAGGGTCTGCAGCGGGTCCTGCTGCTGCTGAGGGTATGCAGTGGGGCCTGCCGAGCCCAGACTTACCTGATCACCTGCTCTTCTCGTTTGGCCTGCTCTTCTGCCTGCTCGGCCTCCGTCACATCCTAGGATCAAGTCAGGGTCAGACCAGCCCCAGTGCTGTCCCCTGCTCTGCCTCATCCCACCCCTCAGGGTTCACAACCTTCCAGAGAATGATTCGGGAGTCGCTGCCACCGGTGACGGCACGGTCATCCAGTCGGCTACAGTGTAGTCCCCAGACCTTGTCCTCGTGAGCATCCAGTGTCCGCACACACTCGTTGCTCTTAATGGTCCACAGCTTCAGAAGCCCGTCAGAACCACTAAGGTTGAGAATGGAAGGACTCAGTGTAGGGGAGTGACCCGCACTATACACCCCCAGCCCTCTCCTAGCCCATTCACCTAGACAGCAGCTGTGAGCCACGGCTCACAAAGGCCACCTTCAGCACAGAAGCATCATGTCCCTCAAATGTCTGCAGGGGAGAGAGAGAGAGGGGGGAACCAAGTCTAACACGTCTGAAGTGTTACCGGAGAGGGGATGGGACGAGGGAAGTACTTACCTTGAGACAGCTGAAGTCTTGCAGCGCCCAGAGCTTGATGGTGCCATCAGCAGAGGCTGTGGCCAGCACCTGGTCCATGGGTGAGAACTGGACATTCCAGAGGCCACGTCGGTGGCCTGAAAAAACCCCCAACAGTTGGCACTGAGGCAAGGCCCAGAGCTTAGCTGTGCGGTCCTGTGAGCCCGTGGCCAGCAGCTTGTCATTGGGGGAGACAGCCAAACTGTTGATGTCCTGGGGATGAGAGCAGGTGACGAAACTCAGATACTCCACCCCATTCTAGGGCTCACCCACACCCCATCCCAGAGGCCACGTGTGGCTACTTTGTCATGGCAGCGCTGAGTGGTCTGGGACTGTAGAAGCACGGGGCCACTGTCCACAGCTGTGTTCTTGGACAGCAGGGCTTCAGGGAGGGGCCACAGCTTCACAGTGCAGTCCTGGCTGCCTGTCACCAGGAAAGATTCTTTTAGCCTGTAGCCAACAAGAAAAAGGGAAACACTGCTCAGGCCCAAGGACACCGTCTGCAGTACACCAAGCTCTAGCCTTCTGCACCAGGATCAGGACCAGAAGGATCATCTCAGGACGTAGATTGGCCTACATCACCCCCAAATGCCTCTATCTGCACTACCTACCCTCAGAGCCACCATACATAGCAACTGGTCCCAACCACAAAGTCACTTCCAGCAGGACCCTGTTCAGTGTCATTTTGTCTGTCTCAAGTCCTTTCTATCTTGTCCACCTTCCAAGGCCACTTCCAAGAAATCTGCCATGGCACCTGGGTCTCCCTGGGCCTTTCCTCTGCTCCACGCCCTTGTTAAAGCCTCACAGTGTGGCCAGACCAGAGCATTCATTCACCACACTGTGCTAGAAACCAATGACTCGGGCCTCTGCCTCCTTGGATATCCCCGGTCCAGTCCTGATCCACTACCTAGAGCAGCAGATGGTGCCCACGCTGTGTGTGTGTCCGGAGCCCTGAGCCACACAGGCCACCTGGCCAGCCTTGTTCATCCTCCAGACGCGGATGCTCTGATCCTGCGGACAGTAGGGGTCGAAGAGAGATGACAGGTCATAGTTCCGTTGCCTTTGTTTCCACTGGGGGGCCTGTGCCTTCATACCTCTTATGGGGTCTCACCTTGGCACAGCTGGCAAAGAGCCACCCCTTCCGGAACACATCCAGGGCCAGGACAATGTCTGGGAGGGAGAGGAAGAGCGGTCAGAGATCAAGGATCCAAAGGAGGCAGGGAAGGGAAGCTGTCAGGTCCAGGCTAAGGCGCCGGGGATGTCAGAGGGCTTGACCTGCCTGTGTGACCGTGGAGGATCTGACAGGCCAAAGTCTGCAGCTCAAACACTTTCAGGCAAGGGCTGTTAGAAGCCACAACAATGTGGGAGTCATTGGGCCCAAGGAATCGAACATCCAACACTTCCTCGCTATAGCCAGCAAACTGTGGGAGGCAGGAAGGTCACGAGTGAGGGGCTGTAAGACAGAAAGCCTCATGTCCAAGCCCTGCACTGGGCAGTATCAAGTGCTCACCTGTTTCTGTAGCTGTAAGGAACGTGCCTCGTAGAGCAGCAGGTTGTGATCAGCGGTGACAGTGAGGAGCAGGCCAGCAGTGCGGGCCAGGGTACAGTGCGTCAGTTCCTGCCCCTGGCCTGGCATTTGTGGCTGGGTGTACACACACTGCCCCGAAGCGGCCTCCCACACCCGGAGGATCCCTGTATGAGGACAAGGGCTGTTGGGGGCTGAGGTCCACAGGCTTCACCCAGCTCCCTGGTCCACGTGTGGCCAGCCTCCCCACACCTTGGTCACCAGCTGTTAAGAAGTGCAGGCCCGAGTTCTTCACGCCCAGTGCGGGTGCCGGCTCCTCCGGCAACAGAACAGCAGTTTCCACACTCTGCGGATGGACAGGGTCAGAGCCTACACAGCCAGGCCTCCCGTTCCTGCCCCATTCACTGGCCCCGGCCTGCAGGGCCGTACCTCAAACACCGGCACTGTCCTCGAGGCCTGGTAGCTCTGAAGGTCCCAGACTACGCAGATCTTATCACGGCCAGAGCTGAGGAGAAACAGCTCCCTGAGTTCCAGTCTCAGCTTTGGCCTCCCCTTCCACCCAAGCCCCATGTGGCCATCCCGAGCCAACCTGAGCATGGTATGGCCATCGTCACTGAAGGACAGGGAGGTAACGGCACTGTAGTGTGCAGTCAGTACAGCCAGACAGGAGCGGTCCTGCAGCGACCACACACGGACAGAGGTGTCCACGGCCGAGGAGAAGAGCAGCAGCCGAGTGGGGTCTGGATGGAAGGCCACCAAACTGAAGAAAAGCAGAGACAAATCAGCTGCACTTCCGAGGGTGACACAGAGCTCTACCCACCTCTCCTCCGCTACCCCACTCACTGCACGACACCGGGTGAGCCTCGAAGGTGGTGTGTCCCATAGTGCTGCACAATGTCCCAGACCCGTACAGCCCCGTCACAGCCGCCTGTGGGGACATGTTTGAGGTGAGGGTGGACCGTGTGCCTTGTACCCTCCAGCCCACCCACCCAGCTGGGGTCCTACCTGTGGCTAACAGTGTAGAGGTGGCGTCAAAGGCCATGGAGGCCACAGGAGCCGTGTGTATGGCCTTCCACAGGCGAGTGACGGTGCCTTCTCGCCAGGCCCACTGAGCCAGCAGCAGAGCCCGGCTGGCCGTTACCAGTACCTGGGGGAAGGTGAAGGATACAGCCGGGAGATAAGACAGGTCTGCCAATTCAGTATGGAAGGGAGCTTCCCCGCCATCCCCCCCATCATACTTCATCATCAGGACTGAGGGCAAAGGCAGTGATGTCCTCTTGGTCCTCCTAAGGGGAGAGTGGGAATTCAGAGCGCTATAAGAAAATGCCACCCTCCCCTCAAGTCCCTCACATCTGTCCAGCCCGTCCTTACCTGCTCCAGGCTCCGAAGCAAAGCCCCTGAGGCCACGTCCAGGATGTTGACTTTGGTACCGCAGACACAAAAGAGGTATTGGCCAGTCTGGTCCAGCTAGGGACAAAGGGGTCTCAGCCAAGGAACCACTCAGCACTTCCTACACCTCTTTGCCCCGTAACTGGCCCTGGGGATCGTTACCTGTGCTTTCCCACCCTTGTAGAAAGGGTCAATCTTCCGCTCAACGGCATAGCTGGAAAGGGAACAGGACACCGAGTGATCGCCCAACGCCCTTGTCCCACCTGAACTGGGTGCTCTCCCAGAGATGAGCCAAATCCTTGACCTCGCAAAGTACCCAGTCAGCAGCAGGAAGCCAGGGATGAAACTAACAGCTCAGTGGGCGGATGCTACTACCTTCACACTGCAGGAAGGTGGAGACCCAGAGCTAGCTGGTGATCATGCCTCTGTGGATCTATGGGGTCATCATATCGCTTGAAGAGGTGGGCCTGCCCG